AACTAATTAAAAAAAATTAAGATACCCTTAAAAATTAAAATTTTATAGAGTAATCTTTTAGATTACTCTAAAGAACTTCCTTAAAAGTATAAAAACGATCTAAAAATATTAACATTGAGATGTAAAATATAATGATATGATCTATGAAATTTCTCAAAATAAAAAGTATTCTTTTAAAATAATTTAAAACAAAAAGATTGATCTGAATAAATTATTTTTTTTATTTGATTTTCTGTTAAAGCTATTATTAATATACAAGAAAATATTTTCATTTTAAAAATATAGTATATTAAACATAATATTAGTCAGTGTTATTAATAATAACGTTAAATTAATATCTCAATTTATTATATTCGTTGGTGTTAGGGTACTATTGCACTCAATTAAAGTAAAAACGTACGACTAGTTTTCATTTAACAGTTCATGTTGAATGTGTTGTTATGAATATTAAATATTTTTAAATAGAACAATTCATATAATTTATATGATATTATTGTACGTTAAAATTATTGTTTATCAGGACTCAGGGAAAGTGGGGAACTTGACCTGCAAATAGGACGAGGTCCGTTACCACGCTTGAACTTGGCATTCAGGCGCCAATACCGCCTACAACAATAGTAATGACCGGACAATAACTGTTTACTTCAACAGCTTTCTAAAAGAAGCGAAAACGCGAATTTCTAATAATACTTGACAGCCCACGGCCCCGAAAGCGATTCGGGTTCGTTTAGTAACAAACAACATTCCGATAAATAACACAATACTAAACCCGACTACTGTATGATTTATCATCCAAAATTAATTCTTACTGCCGGCAAAACTACTAAGTGGTTACAAAACAACCTAAATGGCTCCGTTATATAACTGACGCGAGACTAAGGCTCAGAATTCCTTTTTTTTTTTATATCCTTACACCAACTGTCAACATTAGAGTTTTACCACTTATGACATTTCTCTACGAAATTATAAAATTATTTAGATTATTATACTAGCTATTTATGCAAATACCAACTGTAAAACTGCATCATCTATATATTTTTAATATATTACTGTATTATTTAAACTAAGTTTTAATTGTATATACTTAGATAGAAAAAATTCCTTTAGAAAAATATGCTTTAACAATACTTAAACTTTTGATTAAATACAATATCTGCTGTTCATATTAGATAACTGTCACAAAATTGGTATGTTTATAAAATTTTTTCATTTTTCTTGGTCGCAAATAAGGTGTGGTTGTACTTGAACCTGTATTTAATTTTATTTAATTCCTATAAAGTAAAATTGAAACGTATTTAATAGACAAGTGTCTAAAGTAAAGTTTGCAGAGTATTATTGTAGGTTAAACACGGAGTAATTAAATTTTAAATTTCAAAAACTGCATATTTCCATAACAAAATTCAATTACCCTGATAGAAATTCCTGGCAATAATCACCTATTTTTTTATATAAGTCTAGACATAAATGGATTTCAATAATTATTTATGAATACTAGTGATACGACAAACAAAAAATTTGGCAAATAGATAGTTTGGGAACTCTAAGGTTTAGAACTCTCCAGGTTTTTGTTAACTATCTTCTCAAAATGTGTACTAAAAAAAAAAAAATTAACAAATGGTAATTTTAAGTTAAAGAGATTTCTCTTATAATACTCACAGGAGGTACTTAAAGGTCTCATAAATATAATTAAAAAAAAAATTCAAATTCAAATTATAAGATCAGAAATTCTTCACCCATGATAATTTTAGATACTAACGTAACTAAAATGAAAATTTAAGACAAATAAGTTCAAAATGTTATGAACTTTTTTAACTTCAGTGTATAGCTTAGGAGTTATAGGTTTTACTCTGCAATGTTTTTTTGTCACTGAACACAATTACTCTGTTTCTATTGGGCTGAATTTCTCAGCGATACGTCAAAAAATTACAAAACGTATGTAGTTGAAGTTATTACTTAATCCATTCGAAATTGATTTGAACTTTTAATTCCATTTAAATAATTTTTACTATTTTTCATTTTTAGATTTTTAATACACTTAAATATTAACATAGGAAGTTACTTTATTTTAAAATTAGTTATTAATCAAAACGTGTTTTGATCGTCACTGTATTTGTGACGGTAAATAATTACTTTTGTATTGTTGAATATCGGTGGCATTGTTATTCTATGTATGTACTTCCAGTGGTGATATTGACCCGTTGATATTCTTTCCCTTGATCCACTTGCTGACCGTCATTTGTATACTGTGGCCATCGTCACAGTATCAATAAAGAAGCTTAAGTCAATGAACTGTACGTAAAGAAGAACTAACGACCTTAAGAAATAAAATTTAAATGTTTTCTATTTGCAATGGAATTAATTATAATAATTTTCCTTTGTTGACTGACTGAAAAAATCAATTATTAAAATGATTGATATATATATATTTTAGACAATTATTAATTATTTTCATTACTCTGTTTAAAATGAAACTTGTATGAGTGAATAATTTTAAAACTAATAACAACATATATTGTCAAAACTATTTTATCGAATTGTTTAACTTGTTAGTGCTGTGAAATTGAAAAGACGAATGACAAAGAGTAAGTTTTAATGAATTCCTCTATAAATAGTAAGTTATACACGTAAAAAGTAAACAAGTGGCTTTTTTTAAAATCCACTAGGTCAACTTTTTAAATCTTAGATAAAAAAACTTACTTAATAGAAGCCATCACAATGACTGTTAAATATAACTCATGTTGAAGATAAACTACAAACCTAAAATTGAATTAAAAAAAAACTTTTTAAGGACTTGATAAATTGACAAAAAAGGATTTTAGTGGCATAATTAGGGATTTGTTATGGGGAGAGATATTCATTAAAAAACTTTTCATTCTTTCAAAACGAAAAAAATTTATCTTCTCCACGTGATTTCTTTTTTCGGAATCTACTCCTCTCAATTCTTTTTTATTCGTATATATGAAGTATTTGACATTGGATGACAACTACACAATGATTTTTTTCATTCACCCAATCAAGCAAAGATTCATATTAAATACGACTGTATTTAATGGGTAAGGCATAAGACGTATTATCTTAAAAGTTAGTTTTTTGGTGGATCTAGAGAAATAATTTAGAACGTTACGTCTTATAGCAACTGAAGGGTTCAATGTAACAACCAGTTATCTTCATATTAAAAATTGTTCAGGAGGCACAAAAAAACTAAAGAATTTTAGTACTTAACTTTATCTGCAAGGACTCTCAAAATCTATTAACAAAAATTATTCTCTATCGCAAAAAATAAAAATATGAATTTTCAAAAAGGTGAAGATAACTGGTTTCTTCAATTACAGCTCAAATGAAGTACTACAACCAAATGATTATCAAACTAATATTTTGTCAATATAATACTATTTAACGATGACATTTTAACTTAAACAATCAATTCATACTTAATTATTTTTCAAGTGTCAAAATTAATTAAAGCAATATTAAATGCAGGATTAAAGAAATTTAATGGTTTTATAATGTTGTCTTTGAAAAATTTAACATAATATGTAATAACATTTAATGATAAAACTGTGTCAAGCAGTGACCGTGATTGAGCTAGGACAAACGAGTATTATATCATAGATATACTATACAAAAGCCTCTAATACTGAAACTAGGCAATTTTCATATTGAATTGTATAGATTTTATTGTATTAGTTATTTAAATATATTTTCAAAATAAAAATAATAAATTATAATCACACACATGGATTACATTACATAGTTGTCATAAAATTTGTGATGTAATACGTTTTTTACTTTATTATGCCTTCATGTTTTTATTATAGTAGTTTACCACAACATATAAGAAGTTCATAACTGATACAAATCGATTTGTTAGTGAGTATTCGATTTTTTTCGTTGTACGTAATAGAAAGTAAAAAGTGACATTCGTTCAAATGATAGAGTGACGTATCAATTTATAGTGTTATAAATTTTCTAACATTATGCATATAATAATTTTCATGTAGAAAAACGAACTGATTAATTTGTTTAAAATTTTAATTAATCATAGCTATGTTTATTTTCAGAATTCTGTACCTCAGAGCTAATAACAGTTAATTAATTTTTCAGTTATGCATAAAAACAAAGCAAATCAAGTTCATTGAATCGCTACAAAGATTGAAATAAAATTTAGCATTCTAAAATCGTTGATCTACATATATAGTCCTTAACTATGATATATATACCATAAGTTCATATTTTTATGTGAATTTTTATCAAATTACGTTTGTTTTGTGCAAACATAATTTAGGACATAAAAATGGATAAGAAATGGAAGAAGTGATCGTTAAAAAACTTTGTTAATATGATGTTAAATTTAATTTTGAATACAAAAATATAGTGATCATAAAATCATAATTTTTGTACTTACGTTAGTCTAATTCTGAGATACAAAACTAGTAAAGAAGTTGGCGAAAAAAAAGTATATAAAGTATTTGAAAAATAGTTGGAAAACAATAAAGAGATATGATAAAAATATTAAACAAGTATTAGAATTATAATTACAAAAAGAATTGTTATGCGTTAAGTGTTAACTAGTGTTAATAATTAAAAATTACAATAGTGTCTTCATAGGTGTTTAATGGTAATATTAGTCAATTACATTTTCGATTAAGGTGATTAATTTGGATGATATAGGAGTGACTTTCTTAGTAGAAAAAATTGTTTTTAAAAAGGCGTTACATAGGACTGAAACTTGGTAGTTTCAGCCCTATGTAGTTATTATACACCTATAATAACTACATATTACCTATAATAACTGTATATTTACCTATTTAAAAGCTTAAAATTAGAGAGATAAGGAAATAATTGAATTATAAGCCATTTGATCTTAAATGTTTCAAATAACACTGATAGGGTTTATAATAAATTTAATCACTATTTGTTTAGCGAAGATTCAAACTGATACATAAAAATAATATTTGTTGAACGAAAAAACCAAGTAAAAAAAAAACAACTTACTTTTTAGTTTTATCGTATAATTTATTTACTATTAACTAAGTACAACGTTTATCAATTTTACAATTACATAACTGCTTGGCTACTTTGAAGTAACGACATAATTATTTTTTCTTAAAATCAAGACAGTTGAAAAGAATTTCAGGAATAATTACACAAATAATAAAATAATAATAAAACATTTCTAAAAATAATACATAATAATAATTAAAAAAAGTCAGACGAGTGTTTTTGTTTAATTATCATACAGTACTTGAAACAAGTAAGGCGTTACATGTGCCTGCTACCGCCGTTACACAATTTTACAGTTGCTGCAGAGAGTTGTTATGCTACAGTACCGTATAATAATAGTAGTAGTATTTTATAATAAACAATCACAGTTAATTGAGAAACCCGATACACTTGTATGTATAGATAATGTTAGAATGGGGGACCTATAAAAAAATGATACCGTTGTTGCCGTTGAGATAATAATGAAAATAATCGTCACGTATACACTTTGTATTATATTATATTTACGTATATAATACAAAAAGTTCGCCCGAAGCTGTAGCTTCGCGTGAGGACAAGAAAGGGAGACACTCTAAGGTAAAGTACCGACACGCGTTGCCCTTTCATGGATTAATATATAAAATACATTATGATAAATTGGAGTTAAACGAAATGTTATTTACGATTTAAATGTGAATATTTATGTGTGTGAGATCGGGGAACAACATACATGTGACTTAGAAGAAACCATCTCCAGTGGGGTCATTAAGCCATGGATAGTTGTTTGGACACCGTACACACGTCTGGAGGTTGATGGTTTCGCCGGGTACTTCTTTGCTAGTTAATTTACACGAGTGAGGTACCCAACAGGCCGGGGGACCTTCTACAACGCACTTTTCCCTCCAAGGTTCAAAGTTCTTTACTTCATTGATAATTCGTGGTTTCTGTATCCACTGGATCACCTGTGTCATGGTAACAAAGTATACATCGTTGTGACTAGCCAACACCTCATCAATCCAGAATAAGAAAGCGTCCAAATAATCTGGATTGTTTTTTAACCAAGCAGCGTGGAAGTAAAGACCCATGGGCGCCCTGTTCTGGTCGTAATGCCTTATGAAGTTATCATTGAGGAATTTGTAAAATTGGTCTCCTGATATAATATTTGAGCACGAGTCAACCATGGCACAACCGGGTAGATATTCATCAAAGTTTGGATCTTCTCTCCTATCGAGTTCATTCATAACCATTTCCCATACCGCGTGGCTTCGAGTTGGACAGTGTTGAAGGTTACCGTGGCATCTATAATGAGGCAGCACATACATTTTATTAATTTAAATCGAGATGGCTAAACAAGTAGTAGATAGTATACACTTAGAGGCTCTTGTAGATTTGTCTCGTAAAAGTTACGGGAGACCTTGAAAGAATTTTAGCACCCACTAAATTTAAATTATTTATCTTCTCCGTAAATTTTATTTTATTTATTTGATATTTCATAAAACTTATTAGTATAATTATTATGATCGAAATATTCAATTATTTCGTTCTTCTATATGGAAGAACATAGATTTCTTCAAAACTAAAAATAGATGGTGAAATGCTGTGTTAAACAGATGGTCTCAAAAAATTTGTTGATGATATACTGTACTATAGTATAATAGTTGTTTAATCATAAATCTAGGAAGTTAAATTATTGTTCCGAAACCAGATTGAGAGTGTGCGCGCCCACCAGTCCTTGAAACCTAACAACTTTCGCCGATTGAATAACAGATCGTGTAATCTTTAATCGGGTATAGAAATCGAATGTTTTTAACAAAATTGTTTTAACAAAAAAACGAACGCAAGATGTAAACTTTTTTTAAATTAACTACCTTTTGGTATTTTTTTTTTTTTTTAATTGAACTTTGATATATCTTATAATATTAAGTGTTTAAAAATGAGATTAGTAAAAATTAAAAATTTTGATACATTTTAAGGAATAAAAATATTAAATATCTTAATCTAAAAAAATAATTGTATTTAAATTTCTTACCTGTGTGGCATACGGAAGTACATGGTGTATGGCCAGAGAGGTGGGTTTGATAAAGGAGCGGTAATAGATGAGTCGTATAAGAAAGCTTGATTTTCCATCATGTTGAATTGATTGTTACCGCCTACTCTTAAATACGGTGATCTCAAACCAACCACACTATTATCAGTCAAATTAGCAAACTTCTCAGTAATTATTCTCATACCAGCCATTTCTCTAGCCCATTCCTCTGCAGTAGCGTTGCTCCAGAAATTTTCGTCATCATTATGTCTGTAAATAAATTCAAAACTGTTAGTAAAAATAAAAAGTATAATAATATAATAAAAGTAAAAATCGTTATTTATTTTTCATATATATAATATATTTAAAAAAAATTTTCAAATGAGAAGAAAATATGTCTTTGTATTTTTAATTTCGACAAAAATATTCGTTAGCCAATTATACAAAATTATTTTATTTATTATCAATGGTAATAATTATTTTTGCTAGTCAAAAGTTCTTTAGTGGAATGCGAACTATCTGTAAATTATCTTAAATAATTTTGCCTTTCGCTAATTTTATTGTTTTATTCGAAAGAACTAAATAAAGCCACAAATCACGACTAAAAATTATAGTATTATGTCAGAATGACCTAATTAAAGCTATATTTCCGTCTTTCTCCTACACAACCCTAACAGTTGCTTTAATTCAATTTTTGAATTACTTTATGTGAACCAATAAAAACATTTTTTCGTATCTAATACACTTTATGGTCATTCTTGCAACAGTATTTGCATAATCTAATAAGATATTTTAGGTTATCTTTATTATTTTATCATATTATATTACTATGAGACCATATTTGGTATTCAAAACCATAAAATAGTAAGAATATAATATCTGAAATACAGATATCGTATTTCATCATAGTTAAAGAATGACTTTAATTTTTATATATATTACAATAATTTGTTCATTATAATGATAAACATAACTTTCTGTTTTGAACAACAACAATAATACAGAAAATTAAGAATTTCAATTCACTATTAAACGGTCTTTAGTCAGTACTTTATTGTGAATGTTTCGTAATTATTTATATTTTTTGTATTTTGAAAGGTGAAAATTGTAAATTTCTTGAGTTTTGCTAATAATTTTTTTTGTTATTTTATTCATTAAATAATATTGACAAATGTAGTACTTGGTATTTTGAGAAAAATTGTAATGCTTATAATGAAAAATATTCTACTTGTGTAAATGAAATACTATAAACACATTATTAATGAATATTTAATTTTATTTGTAGATTGAAAACTACTGAAAATTTTGACAAATTACAAGTCTGTATTATTGATATTATGTGTAATGACTGTTTAATATAAGACTTATACTCTTTAATGAATAATTTTTCATAATATAATACAATAGGCATCTTGTAAAATTCATTATTAATTAGCCTTGAATAAAATATTGTGCGATTAAAAGAAGTAATGGAAGAGTAATATATTCAATGTAGAAAAAAAATTTATAATTCATGTATAAAAAAATAAATCTGATAAAAAAATAATCTAACTTTAATGGTTAATACATTATTAAAAATATATATAATACGATGTACATATGTTTAACCTGTATGACAGATTTATTTTATGGAAATATAATGTATAGGTATACCAAATCAAAAAAAGCATTGAGAAAATATTAAATAATTTTTTGTTTTTACAAGTATGTGTCTTTGCAAATTATTTATCGATTAACTAAAATTTAGATTCATCGTTAATAATGTATTTGTGTAATCTGAACTACGATTATTACATTCCTTTTTCCAATACAACATTAATCCAACGGGTTCGTATGCTAATAAAAAGGCATAACCCATTAATAAAATAAAATTTGAACCTTTTAAACAACTCGTTCACACCACTCAATACGCATACCGGTTTGCTCACGCATAATTATTGTCATTAAACTGACAGCTAATAATGGTTTATAGTTTAGTGCACTTGACATCAATGCAATAAATTTCTGAAGTTTTCCTATTAGCATTAAACAGCATCTTCGGTCCAATTATTTTACTTATTCACTTAAATATTAAAATTGCCACGAAAAATACAATTTCCCTTTTAGCTATTAACACATCTATGGAATAATATTTAATTAATTGTAGTTTTTACAAATTGGATTTTTTTATAATTATAGTAATTGAATAATTTGATAGCAAACAAACAATTTTTTTTTAAATGTCCCTTCTTCTGTTTTTCTTTTAGCAAAATTATTTTTCACTAATGATATACTTTCACATTTGATGAAAGTTTTATACTACTTTTTTGCGAAAAACGTTTAAATTTAGAATTTTGTCAAATTTAGCCTCGTCAAAATTCAGTGTTCACTTAGTAATTTATATTTTTTCGTATAACGTCTTTTGTGAACATAAAAACATAAAAATTACAATTATATGTATTGTGGCTGAATTAAAAGTAAACCTTATCAAAATCTTTAATATTACTATTAATTAGGTAATATTTTATAATATATAACCTGATCTTAAATTGAATTTTATTAACTAAAGTACGATTATTGTGCTCACCCCTCAAAAAAGTTAATTAGTCCTTTCCAATCCCTTTAAAAATATTCTGGCCGCAGTTTCTGATTATAGAGCGCGTAAGCTAAATTAAAACTACCTAATCAAATAAATATGTGTAGTATAATATGCATCCAACTTACGTTATTGAGTGTACAGCTATTTCATGACCTTTTCTGTGAGTTTCTTGAACAGCAGAATAATTTGTGTACTTATGTGAAACGAAGAACGTGGCCTTAATATCGCATCCGTTGGGGTTTCTGCGCTTTCCATTAAATATTTCTTTGTACAATTCAATGTTGTTGTTGTTAATGGCGTCGTCAAATGTAATTGTTATCATCTGTGGTACATCTTTTGCGGGTAAATCATTGGGTATACCAGTGCCGTCTTCAGAACAAAAACAATCTGGCAACACACAAACTGCGGGGTCACAGGGTGGTGCACGATTTGGATCATTGTCGCTATCTGATATCAAGAAAAAAATACCATAAAAAAAATGTTTATAACTTGTGAAACAAAATCATTTTCAAAACAGTTAAATCACCAACATACAATAAAGTTTTCAAGATTTTGTTAAGAAAGCAAATGATATCAATTCATTTTTTTGGAGTTTTAATTTTAATTTTGTAAACAAAATGTTTTGACTCTTTTAGAAAAATTTACTAAATATATTGATGTCCAGTAAGTAAGGAAACAAGTAAATTGTTGCAAACAATAAGAACAATAGAAACCCGTTTTTTTACTTACTGAACACTCTATATGATAGATTATGTATTATGGACGATTTTCGTATAAGCTTAAAGTGTTACTTTAGTTATCAACCTTCAATATACATAAGTTCTTCAAATATTAACGTATCAACACTTTGGTATTTATGTTTTAACTTACCACATGAATTTTCGTCTGATCCATCTGGACAATTCTTTTCACCATCACAGAATAGACTACGTTCAATACAAGATTTATCTCCGCAGGATAATTCTCCGTCCTGAAAATAAAGTTAAATTACATAACTATATATTTTACAAGCAAGTCTTTTATTTGTTGCTTTCAAAAATGAATTGCTTTTAGAAAAAGGAAGAAGGCTTATCTTTAGGTCAAGGTCAAGGTTATATAGTTATTAAAGGAAAATTATTTGAGATATTTTTAGCTTTTTTTATTTATAAAGACTGTTTCAAAAAAGTATTTATTTTTAAGAATAATTGACTAAAATCAACTTGTTTTTTTTTATTATTATTGAAAAGTTTGCTTATTTTATCAGATAACAATGGAAAAAGTATACTTTAAATTATTAATGAATCATGAATTATCTTATAACGTATGTTTATTTTAAAATTTTTAACTTTTTACTAAATAAAAATCTAATATGACTAAAGTCTTTTTTTATCAGGAACAAAAATATATCACGCTATAAATTATAGCACACCAACAGTTTTGGGCGTTAATTAACCCGAAATATGATTATGACGCAATAAAGAATGTAATTTACTGTAGGATACATGTATACATCTCAGCATGACTGACTTATTAAACAATAGATATACTGTTGTACTCAGAACAAAGTATATTATTCAAGGTACATTTGTAGGATTGTCCGAACGTATAATTACCTGACACAACGGTTCATCCGTGAACAACAGAGGCTTAACTTTGCGTTCTTTATTCTTCAACTTGCAGTTCTTCACTGCAGATTTCCAGTCACATGTTTGTTTTTCAATATCGAAATACAAACCCGCAGGGCAACGGATTGCTTGTAAACCCTGAAAAATTAACAATGTTTTTTTATTAAGACGAGAAAATTACACAAAGTTTCTCAATGAACCTGATAAAATAAAATGTTAATCAACTCAATTATCATGTTTTGTATTTACTCACCGAAGAAGTACATTGAATGACATCTCGACAGCTGTCACCATCTTGAGCTGTCAATCTAAACCATTCTCCTGCGTCTTTGTCTTTACAAATTTCGTTTTCGAAACTCTCCTCTTTTTTTGGTTCACTAGTAGTCGCTTGTTGACGTTTAATACGTGATAATAAAACATTAGCCGTCCCTAAAAAAATAATATAGAAAATAAATATAAATATATTTTATTGTGTAATTTATTTAAGATATGTTCATTTGTAAATATTTTGAATAGTCATTTTTTTTAATAACTCGAGAAAAAAATTCAATTCTGTATTCTGTAACTACCCCTAAAGTGACATCATTTTTTGGTATAACTAATTACAACAGAGATCTAACGTTTAAAAATAATGAAACGATATTAATTTTATATCAATGTTATTTATTAAATTAATATATTTTATAGTTCTGTCACACAAAATGTCTACTGTTAAAATGATGATCAATGACAAATACGCGTGAAAGTGTAAAGAAAATATAAATTCTTTAATACGAGTAATAGGTAAAATGAATAATAATATAATGTTTTTTATTCTTCCTACATCGTTGAACGTTTAACATTTTCTTTTTTCTTGGACTTTAGAGAGGTCATGATGGGAATCAATAATATTTATTTGAAAAATATTATTAATGAAAACCGTCATTAATGTGCTGTGCGTGATTTGCTTCTGTAAAAAATCTAAAGACATCCGGAGGTGTTGACGTACTCTAACGTGGTGCACATGCTGCAGTTGGTAAAAACTGTGCCTAATATCTGAATACTGTGAGTTATAGTATTATTTTTACTAGGTCTACTCCACTTTCACAATGCATAAACGCACGCACCCAATAATAAAAACGCTCATTATTCTTAATTTTATCTATCGATCATTGAGAGAATAAATAAAAGTTTTGCAGTCTACTTTCTATGCAATATGTTTGCTTGACGACGCTTTACAACGTCAAGGCTCTTTCTACAGCGAAAACATTGTCACACTTAGCTAGAATATATAAAACAACTTTTCCAACGCCCTCCCAGATCTCCTGCTAAATGTGGTTAAACTATATTAAGTATTTATTCTTATAGTGTTACTAATCATCACTGTCTAAATACATACTACACTTGCAATGCGCTGTATTGCCTCCAGCCGACTTGTTCAAAACTGGTATAGGCGTCTCAATAGAAATTATGAAAGTGACGTACAACATTAAACGTAATAGGATAAATCGGACAGATTTGCCAATGATAGTTTTTCATTGAAAATTGGGAAATTAGCTCAACGGTTTTATTATATTTAAATCAAGAACACTTAGTAGATGATTAGGAAATCAAAAAAATATTGTACTTATATTCATTTGGATATTTAAACAAAATAATAATTTTTTCCAGTCAAGTTAATATCTATTTTGGTCGATTTATCTACAAACATGTATTAAATCTCCGAAAATGTGTCTACGTACATATTGAAATATATTTATGTATAATTTACATTTCATTTTACACTCATTTAATTATAATTTATTTTACACCAAGTTAAAAGGAGTTAATGTAAATGAAAATAAAATATGTTTAATATACATATGTGAGTTTCTTCAAGATATTTAAATGTAACTCAAGATTTTTCTATTTTTTTTCTTTTTATTTGTCTCCTATTAAACTCATTTATTTTCATAGTGTTAAATATTCATATTTTATGATATAGCTTTTTTTTTTATAGATTTTCCTAAAATTATGACAAAGTGATGATTTCCGAACATTTTTAACTTTTGTATTGTGTAAAATACAATATTTATGACTTATATTATAATGATATTATGTAATCAATCTATTAGATTTCAGAGGAAACAACATTTTTCGGCCACTGTTTTGTTGAGTAACTTGTTTTTATTTTTTTGTAACACTGCAAACACGTCACTTGAAACCGCATACTCATCATTCATTTCCCCATAATACATTCCCTTGACTTATTTCTAAACCATTAAACAACCTACAAATTGCAACTGGTTGATATACAGAGTTTTATAACTAATTCTCTGTAACACCGCTAAAAGTATCACGCCTAGTCCGGTCAAATTTGTGTATTGATTTTCCACAATAAAATAAATGAAATCATATCCATGCAATTGTAACTTCTTAAACAAAGCAAGCTAAGTTTCATGACTAATTTTTAGAATAATAATTAAAGAGATATTTAACTACAATTAGTTTTATGTAAAAAAATTAATGCAAACCTTAGATAAGTATTATTTTCAGCAGTGCACATGCCTTCGACAATTGTTCGTTGTTTATGCTTTAAATACGGCACTGCTGAATTATTAAATTATTTTATAGTAAATCTCAAACACTTTGGAGGTTTTTTTTTTTTTATAATTTAATCTTCTCTTTTTTAAATATCAATTATAATTCAAACTTGAATATCTTTACATAAATTCCATTCGCGTTCATAGAAAATATTTTTAACGAGTTAAATAATTATAATTTAGAAATTGATAGACTTGGACGCTCTCAGAACTGACAAAGTCTTCAATTTTTAAATTTAAAACGCTTACTGATTAAACATAACTCTTTGCAAACTAATGTTTTGGTAAAGAATGTATTGTAACCAAAATGTATTTTACTCACCTGATGCAATTAGACATGTCAGGATCACAAAAAGTCCTAAAGACGCGCTGGTAGTCCTCATGGCGACAGCGTAGGACTGAGGCGCACGCACGCTCACCGTGAAACAGACGATTTACACACGGCCGCGTGTGAACGGTCGGAATTATTTTTGGCAGTGAATAAATAGCTTAATTATGTGTTGAAATTTGAATTTATTTATCGAATGGACAGTGTTGAACGNAAAAATTATGTTGAAATTTGAATTTATTTATCGAATGGACAGTGTTGAACGGTCCGGAGGAACGAACGACGGAACGAGATTCGGTATTACACTTAACCGCGGCGCGTTCATTTATTGTCTTATATACGCCGGTGTTCATTTCACCGGTGGATTTGTTTTCCAGTAGGTAGAGCCACAATACGGTCCTCGCCGTGAAAGTCTGCCAGCAACAAAAATATTATATCATACATTAGTGGTGCTTAAAATTATGATCAACATTTTTATTTACTAATTTAATGTTCATTAGTATGCTACGTTAAAAATTAATTCCTCATAATCATAGGCGGGACTAGATATTTTAATAGGACTAGGCACTTTGAATTTTTCACGAGTGGAAAGTAGAGGCAGATTGGCAAAATATAGAAAATTATAAATTACTTTTTATAAACATTTTTTTTAGAAGGATGAAGAAATTATCTATAGCCTCAACATACATAGAGTGATTCAATTCATGAACCACTTCAATCGAAAAATAGAAATATTAATAGATATTTTATTGGTTTCTATTAGTTCAACATTTTTTCCAATGTAATGGATAAATGTATCAATCATAAAAATATTTTTATATTCCTTATATCTTTTAATGGTGTCAAATTTAATTTTTCAAATAACAACACACTAAATTAACTAGCTTATTTTTTAGATAATAATTTATTAGAAAATGCTGGTCTATATCAACTTGTAGACATTATTCTCATTGTTTGTAACAACTAACCTCTATCCTTACTTACTGAACACCTTGTATATTTATTTTAGACATTTTCCGGCTTTACTCTTCATCTCATCTAAATATAAACATGTCAATAACTTCCGATAATTCAATAATTCTTCAAAAAAACTTCAATAATTCTGGTCCAAATGTTGTTATCGACCAGTCATTTTCTTGTCTAATGAATAAGCTAGTTAATTATGTGTGTAATTTGAAAAATTAAAGTTGATCCTCTTATAAGATATAAGGGATGAATATAAAACAATTTTTGTTTGATGCAATTAGAAAAATATTGAACTAAAATAAACCAATAAAAAAATTATCAATAATATTTTTATTTGTTGTTTAATTAAATGGTTCATGATTAGTAAATCACTCTGTATATATATATATACGTAAGAGATTTTTACTATGTAAAATATTAATTAAAAACTAAAAAAATATATAAAATATTTAAATTAAAAAGTCACCTATACGTATTTGGGGAATAATGTTGCTATCAGCTTACTGACAGTATGTGTTTAGCATTGATGATGATACATGAAATTAATATTTTTAATTTTTAATAAAAGATTACAATAATTATTTTAAGCTTAGACCATATTAGCCTTGGTTATGGCCTAGTCCAAAATTCCACCTATTAACATCATAATAATTTTTAAATTTTGTCTGTAGACAAAAAAAACAATAATTAGATTATCGTCGGATGAAAGAGAGACTTGTAGTCAAAAAATAATTTTATGTTTACTAAATGTCGCTTATTAATATAAACGAAAATTTTTTAAAAAATTTATTGAGGTGTAGATGAGATTTATAGAAGTTTAATCCACTCTAATTAAAAAAAAATTGAATAGGTATCCTGTTCGGTTTATTATTCTGTATCAGACTGTATCTAAGCCTACTAAATTGTACACCAATTTTAAATAAAAAGAATATAAATGTTCTTATTTTATTATATAATTATTTTTATAGAATGTTTTATTTATAAAATAGTAACAATTAATCTATGTAAAATTACAAAGGACGTAAATTCTTTATTTACTACTAAATCATAACTTTTTTCATGTTAGTTAACAATTTGGCTATATTGAATTTTTCAGAATATTAAAAAATTTGGGTAAGTAATAATACTAGAAGTCATTAACGATTGAATTGCATGTAATAACACATCAAAAATTTCAAAAATTTTCATTCAGTATTAAAAAGTAATTATTTTATGAGTTTAATATTTGCATCTAAATTCTTTTTTTGAATATTCTAAATAAAAAAAAAATACCAGAAATACTCATCATTGTTCTTTGATTATTGATAATTAACTGAATGAAAAATATATAAATATGTATAATGATAATTTTAAAGTTTATAATGTAAGTTTAATAAAAAAACTGAGAATTTTGATTCTAATTGATTAAATGTAATAGTAGCACTGCATGTAGGGGTTTCTTTAAATTCTGTACAATAATTTGATTTCGTTTCATAGTTAAATATATATTTTGTGTAATAAAGAATAGAACTCTATTTTGGTGATCTTGTAAATTTATAATAATAATTACAAATTCAAAAAAATAAGATTACAATAACAACCATTAAAGAGCGTCATTAAAGAGCAACTACATTCGTGAATTATGCCTAATTATGAAAAAAAATACAATTAATAATAATTCCTAATTTTAATGAAATAATATAATAAAAAATTGTTTGATTAAAACAATAAATGCATCTTTGTTGTTTTATGACTTAATGTCTAGGAAGTGATTAAAATAACATTGACTATTTCATTTACAATGACATTTTGATTATTTTTAAACAAATAATCGTAAAAATTGTTTAAAATGTTTAGAGTTCAATATTATTAATATTGTTTTTATTTTTAAATTAATAGTATTTTTAGTATAGTTTTAATTTTAAATAATATTAGCCACAAGTCATTAATTTTTATTATATTATATTTTATTATTACTATATCAATTAGTTTAGGAAAATCTTAATAGTTATTTGTACTTAAAATTGTTTGTAAAAGTTAGGAAATTATATTCTAACTGTCAGTATACTTTTAATTTAAAATCATATCATTAACCAAAGTACCAAAAAGGAAATAATATTATCAATTCAAAATATTTTCTTTTCAATTTTGATAATGTTCCAAAAAACCTACACTCTTTAAACTAATGTCAAATGAATGCTAATAATTTTTTTTTAAATTAAAAAAATAAAAACTTTTTGAAAAATAAATGTATATGAATTTTTGATTAATAACATTTAACCAAATAATAAAATTTGTTTATTCGCGATATCTCATGCAGTTGACTGACAACATTTTTTCACAATGCATACTTCTAAGTTCGACAATGTTACAAAATATTTTCTAATAATAAATGCACTAGTTAGAAAATATCTATTAAACCAATCCCCTTAGACTCGCGTGGTCATAAGATACAACTGTTTACAAAAATGTGATCGTTTCGCGTCCTTGACAATTTCACTGGATATTTATATGACAACTTGCTTTCGTATACCTCATTCGTAGGGGTAACAACAAAACGAGCTAATTAGGCTATAGCTTGGCCTAATTTTTAGATCCCTTTCCCGATAATAAGCCTAAAACTTGAGTAGAAGCGATTCCACACGAATAGTGTCACAATATTGTTAAATTTGAACTATCATATTGTGAAAACTCTATATGAACCAAAATAAATATTAATAAATGGGCGGTTCCATTTGCTGACGAAGCATCTGTTTTTATTGATTTAGTGATTTTTGGAATTACCATCCCTGTCTCTGGCGATGGACTAACTACCCATCCCGGAGTATACATGATTAAGAAACTTCCTCTTAGGGGAGGTGCCAATCGCCCTCAATGAGTGATTACCGCTAAAAGCAAAAACTAAAATTAATTAGGAAAACAAATTTAAAAAAATATCATTTAAAATTTTATACCGTATGGAAGCACAATAGTGTCTTATTTTATCAATATAAATGATTATAACCATACTCTACATATAAAATAAGATTCTTTTTTAACTCATTTCAGCTTAATGTTTATTTAAAAATTAATTAAATTATAAAATGGGTAGAAATAAATCAAATTAGTTAAACTTTTTTTTTTTTTATACTTATAAAAATTATTATATTTTATAAATTTCATAAAAATTTAGGGACATTAAAAAAAATGTTCTAGATCAGTTTTTAAAAATTATTGATGTTTAAAGTTGATAGTGAAAAATTTTAAATGGAGAATTTTAATACAAAAATAACAAGCTTTTTAATTATAGTGACAATATGCTTGTAGAAGATAAATTAAAAACATTTTTTTTTATCTCTTATTTTATACACTCAATATATTTTTTATTAAAAATATAATTTTAATAATGTATCCTTATTTTTATCTTTGTTGAATAAGAATATTTTATATTCGAGAAAGCATATTTTATTGTTGTGGCCCAAGTGTCCCGGAGGTAGCCCCTTATAGGATGCCACACAATTATCATCAAAACAAGAATTCAACACTAAAATTATCTCCATAAGTTTCTATGCACTATTTTTAATTCAAAATAAATTAAGTTAAATCCATTCTCTATAGATAACATTTTGTGAAAAATTACTCTTTATATTTTTTAATTAAATAAAATAATTTTGTTTTCTCATTTATTTATTTACTTACAGCCGAGTCTATAATTTTGCAAGGTGAGTCGTTTCAGTGTCAATTTTTTTAACTATCAGTTCACAATTTTAAAAATTCTCTATTTCTTATAATATAATTGTACATATTCATTGTTGTTATCAAGAATATTTCTCGCTGTTATCAATCTACATTATTCTACAATTCCTACCAGCTGTTCAGTTAGTTCAGTGACTTTTATTAAGTATTCTACTACTATATGTATATATTGTTATCTAAATTATACGCCTTATAGAAGAAACGTTAATATGGAAAGTAAAATTGATGCTTTGATAAAAACTGTGAATGAACTTAAATCCTTTCGCTTAAACTTTTTATCTATAAGTTCTCTGTTTGAAAAATTTTAGACAAAAAAGTCAATGATTTAGCTAGACAATAACTAATTCTGTCATGAATTGACAGAATTAATAATTAGGTCATCAGAAATTAAACTCTTAAAAACTAGAATTCATAATATCGAAATTGATTTAATTCAACAATTACTACAACACCAGAATGAAAAGATAAAGTTAACATTGAATTAATATCAGAGATGATTAATAAATAAAATCGTATGAAAAACATGATTCTTTTTAATCTTCCAGAATCAAATAATCCAAACATCTTAATAATTTTTAAAATGTACTTAAATTTTAGTAAAAAATGGTATAGTTAGGATTAATATGGAGTCAGCAAATTTTATAATTACTA